CCTTCAGGGTGTAGGGACTTTGTGTGTGTAGGCAGTAATTCACAATGTCGGCGTATGTTACGGCAGACAAGGAATCCATCTCTGGCGAAGTCCACTGATCTCGCCGCATTTCGCATGGATCCAAATCTCCGATCACTCGCAATTTCTCCAAATATCTTGCCTTGGAAATTACGTCCGGTGTATCAATATACTTCCCGCGGTCAGCGAAGGCCGATTTTGCGGCTTTAGGTGACAAATGATCCGTAGCAAATGATCCGTGGCAAATGAGACGTGAAAAATGCTATATATGCTTGACCTGGCGGCCGCGCAAAGCATCATGGGTAATGCGCACGTGATGGAAAACCATACATAACCATACATTTGCGAGCGAATCTTCAACCTGAGCCTCAAGCTGAGGGCGGTACCACAGCTCTGGAAGACCTCCTGTGTGGTACCGGTGCCCAAGAAACCACGGGTCAAAGACCTCAGCGACTTCAGGCCAGTGGCTCTAACCCAGGGGTGGGCAATTATTTTTTACAGGGGGCCGCATGAGAAACAGAAAATGTTGTGAAGGGCCGGATGAAAAATGTGAACTCAAATATACATAATATTATTTGAAATTGTTACTTATATATATTTATACTTAGTTACACAAGTGACATACGATTGAGGTTGCCTTATAAAAAATGTAGTTTATTCAATAAATGTTTGAAAGTAATACTAAACAAAAATAGTTTTTCACATTTGTGACAAATAGACTTTTTTTAGTCTACATTTTCAGTGAATGTGCCATAAAGAAACCACAATATTGTTTTTTGTGCTCCAAACCAACCAAACTAAGCAAGAAACATATTGAATTGTTATTAAACATCACAAAACTGTGATTTTGAAAAAAAAAAAGGCTTCCAAGTGTCCCAGGTCACTGCCACTTCCTTTACATGCCTCCTTTTGTAATCTGTCACAAAAGGTGGATGTGGTGTTTAAGTGATTTATTCTCAGTGAGAGAAATCTTGTCTCTGCTGGGCTTTAACAAGTGCATCAAAGTCAGGCTGAATGTCTGAGGTGGAGATGCGAAGCAAGGCTGACAAATGCTCATCAGTGAGAGAGGATCTATACCTGGATTTTGTGAACTTCATAGTTGAAAATGTCTGTTCGCATATGTACGTAGAACCAAACAGAACCAACATCTTCTGGGCATATCTCCTCATGTTTGGAAAGTTCTCCTCCACAAGAGAGGAGTAGAAATCTAGAAGAGGTTTTGAGTGAAAGTGCTCTGCCAACACTGCATCAGACTGCAGGTCAATCAGTTCCATCTGAACATCACTGGGTGCATTATCTACACTGCAGGTAAAGGGGGAGGAAATCATCTTCATCTCATCCTCAATAGTTCTGAGATCTTCAAAACGTCTTGAAAACTCACCATGCAATGCTATTAACATGGATGAGTACCTGCGGAGATGATCCGCTGATGGTGTGACTCCTTTCAGTGTTTGCATATGAGTGAGGGAGTTGTTCTCCAGTTGACTTGAGAGAAGTGTCATCTTACTCATGAAAGCTTTCACCAGGCTGTACATTTCATGAACAAAAAGGTCCTTTCCTTGCAGTTTTGTGTTCAGATCATTAATCAGTGCTGTCACATCAACAGAAAATGCCAAATCTGTGATCCAATCCTCATCTGAGAGCTCTGGGAAATCTTTGCCTTTACTTTCACAAAACTCTAAAATCTCTGCTTTCAGGTCCCAAACTCTTTTTAACACTTTACCCAGGCTGAGCCACCTGACAGCTGTGTGGTAGACAATGTCATTATGCTCAGTGTCTCGCTCCTCCAAAAGTGCAACAAACTGTCTGTGATTCAATGCCCGTGCCCTGATGAAGTTTACTATTTTAGTAACAACATCAATAACATGGTTAATTTTTAACACTGACTTGCACAAAACATGTTGGTGTATAATGCAATGCAAAAATATAACTTTCTGATCTGCATTCATTTCAGTCACTTTATCTTGAATACGTTTCAAAAGTCCTAAATTTTTTCCTTGTAAGATTTGGACAACCATCTGTTGTGACACCTGCCAGTCTCTCCCATTTCAATCCCAGTGTGTCCATGCACGCATTTACCTCCGTGAACAGATCAGCCCCTGTTGTGGTCCCTTTCATCGGCCGCACTGCTGCCAGCTCCTCCGTGATCTTGAAGCCGGTTATACCACGAACAAATACGAGTAGCTGGGCCGTGTCTCGGACATCACAGCTCTCGTCCAAAGCCAAAGAGAAGCAGTCAAAACGTGCCACTTCATGTTGCAATTGAAGCTCCAGATTCCCCGCGATGTCCTCGACCCTCCTTGTCACCGTTCGCCTGGACAGCGGTACTTGTTCAAATGCTCCTTTTTTCTCCGGGCATATTAGCGCAGCAGAGTCCACCAAGCACTCTTTAACGTCTTGTTGCTTTTGCAGTGCAGCTAGCAAAGTTTTCGATGTCCGCGCCATTTCAGCATCATTTAAGTTTTTGTATTTTTCTGCGTGCTTCGTCTGGTAATGCCGACTCACATTGTACTCCTTAAACACGGCAACTTGCTCCCCGCAAACGAAACAAACAGCGTTAGCTCCAACTTCAGCAAATAAATACTTAGCAGTCCAATGTTTGTTGAAAATCCTGCATTCGGTATCTACCTTTCTTTTTTTAGCATGGGCGGACATTGTCGAGGGCTGCTCGTGAAAAATGAAGGCTCATATCACGCGCAGGTAGAGATGCTGGACACTGCAGACCCTTTGCGCCGCTTTCGTGGTGCGGATGCGTCGCGTCGCGGAAGCGTTGCGAAAGCGTAATGCAGAAGATGCCAAAAAATCATACTTATATTGAAAATGAGTCGCGGGCCGGATTAAATAGCTTGGCGGGCCGGACACGGCCCCCGGGCCTTATTTCGCCCAGGTCTGCTCTAACCTCCCACTGCATGAAGACACTGGAGAGAGGGAGGTCCTGGGACATCTCCGCTCCACTCTGAGCCCAGCGATGGACCCGCTGCAGTTTGCCAACAGGCCGGGCATCGGAGTTGAGTTCGAATCCCGGTCGGACCAGGGCCTTTCTGAGTGGAGTATGCATGTTCTCCCCGTGTCTGCGTAGGTTTCCTCCGGGTACTCCGGTTTCCCCTACCACTAAAAATATGTACACATGCGCCTCCTGTACTGGTGACCCTGCTCCCATCTCTGTGTGGAGTGAGAGGACAAGTGCCCAAAATTAACAATTGTAAACCGCTTTGAGACTCAGATCTGCAGTGAAAAGGCGGTATATAAATAAAAACTTAGCGCTGAAGAGACAAGGCCGCACTCTGTACGGCTTCGGAGGTTAAACACGGGACTGTAACTAACACAAACGGCTCTTTTAAGAGCCACCCACTCTGTCAAAGAGACTTGACTTCCGTTGTGATATAATTACATTATCTTTTATGAGCAGTGTATCTCCGTTCCCTAAATACATATGCAGAAGTTGGGTGTTTACATCAAATCCTTTATTTAAAAATAAGATTCAATCTGCTCCAAAAGACATGCTCAGGTGCTTTAGGAAAAAGTGTGGACTCTACGAGCTGTGCTCCAGAGAAGGATGAGTGCTCTAATGCAGGGCATCCTGGGTAACTCCAGACACCCAGGAGTAGCCGAAGCAACAGGCTCCTATCACTGCGCTGCCAAACGGAACGTTTCAAGAGATCCTTTGTTCCTTCGGCAGTCAGACTGTACAACAAACCTGGATGAGTCTTCTGCTGCTGGACACCTGCATTTCTCCTATACGGGGGATCAATAAAGTATACCTATCTTTTCCTGAGTGACGCCATTATATGTAATGCAGAGCTATGAGCCCCATGTGTTCTTGCTAACAGTTCTCGCTGTGCTAGTCACTAAATCGGTGAACAGCATTTCCACATCAAAAACAATGACTATATAAACTGTGTACTGCCTTTATTCTGTCTGAGAGAAAGAAACAATTGAAACCACTGGAACTTGAGAGAAACTTAAATAAACTTCCAGAGTTTGGCGCACCACGATCCGTCTCTGTCTGCTTCATTCCTGACACTTCATAACTGCATAGATATCCTGGAGCAAGGCAGGTTTATTTGTATAGCACAGTCACAAACTGCCACTCAAAGAACAAAACTAGACGGGAATCATAAACAATCACAGTACTCTAAAATCTCTGTTGTATGCTTGGCGAAAAAGAAGAGTTTCTTTTAACATTGTCATACTCTGCGCTCCTCAGAGTCGGTTTTTATGGCACAAAAATGTCTCGGATGTAGTTTTGTGCGAGGCCATGAAGAGACACAAGCTGAGACCTGAGAACTGGACTAATGTTATCAGTGGGGCGGCTGCGGCTGTAAAGTGCCAAACTTCACCCCCATTGCCTAGAATGAGTCTGGTGTGTGTGAATGGTTGGTGGTGGTTGGAGGGGCCGATGGCACATACTGGTTGCCTCGCTTGTGTCAGTGTGCCCCAGGGCAGCTGTGGCTACATTAGTAGTTTATCACCACTTTGTTTGGAGTGAATGAATAATGACATGTGAAGTGTATTTGTGTGTCCAGAAAAGCGCTGTATAAAACATATGCATTATTACTATACTATTACATATACATTATTACTATAATGATCTTTTGTCACATTCACTTTATTGATATTTCGTAGTATAACAACAACGTGATATAATCGATAATAATGTTGTGTGTGTATCTCTTCATAAATGACCAGTTAATGTCTGTTATACAGGGGACAGTTAAACATATAGATGACAGTAACTATTGTTTTTCCTGAGTCTCTCCAATATATTACAGTCGATGGTCCCCTCCAGAAACTGGTGATTCTGCCCCTCAAACGTATTCAGTCAGAAGCCTCCGCCTCGTGAATGAAAGCAGCGCGCGGGACAGGGGCGGGGCTAACGCCTCAGAACCAATCAGCTTCGCCCTGACATGTATAAAGACCCACAGCCTCAGCTCTGAGTCTCATCCTGTTTCAAGTTCTCACACTGATACAGAGCAAACAAAATGGCCAGAACCAAGCAGACCGCCCGTAAATCCACCGGAGGAAAGGCTCCAAGGAAGCAGCTCGCCACCAAAGCTGCCCGCAAGAGCGCCCCGGCCACCGGCGGCGTGAAGAAGCCTCACCGTTACAGGCCCGGCACAGTGGCTCTGAGGGAGATCCGCCGCTATCAGAAGTCCACCGAGCTGCTCATCCGCAAGTTGCCCTTCCAGCGCCTGGTCAGGGAGATTGCCCAGGACTTCAAAACCGACCTGCGCTTCCAGAGCTCCGCAGTCATGGCTCTGCAGGAGGCCAGCGAGGCCTACCTGGTGGGTCTGTTCGAGGACACCAACCTGTGCGCCATCCACGCCAAGAGGGTGACCATCATGCCCAAGGACATCCAGCTGGCTCGACGCATCCGCGGGGAGAGGGCTTAAAGCAGCGGCTCCACTCTCCACACAACGGCTCTTTTAAGAGCCACCACATGCCAATAAGAGATTGACTTCAATGTGTGAAATATGTAGTAATAAATTCCAAACCCAAAGGTACAAAATGCATAATGACCGTGCATTAGACTATTCAAAGGATACATGAACGCAACGTGAAGTATAGATTGACACTTCCTGACTATCCATTCATTTTCTTCCCCTTAATCCATTTCTGGGTCGGGGGAGTGAATTGCTTTTGCAACAAGGGTAAAACTAACCTGTCTCACGACGGTCTTCATCTCCAAGACTTGAAAGCAGTTATTTCTATTTCATCTTCTAAACGAAACGGCCTGGCATGTGTGCTATGTTATACTTGACCCTTCATGATACTCCACGAAGGCTTATTTTGGTTAGACATTTCTCACTCTCCAGCTCGTGTCTCACCCCTTAATCAGTTTACATTTATATCTTTTGGTGTTCGAAACATGTACATAACTTACATCAGATATTTATCATGATAGGATGAAAAATATTGTCATCAGAGATCCACAAAAATTGATAATTATTTACTTTACTGGACAACTCTTTTATTTTTTCACCTTTTCTCATTCATCACTGAATGAATGAACGTTGTGAAAAAGAGCGCGCTCAGCCTGAGGCTCGCTCCGGGTGGTGTGTTTTGATTGGTGTACTGTCCTCCAATCTAGACCAATCAGCGTGAAGCAGGGTCTTTATATATCAGCCGCATATTCGACAGCGCACAGTTGAATCTTTCAAGACTCAAAGAATAGCTCAAGATGTCTGGACGAGGAAAGGGCGCAGGTAAAGCCAGGGCTAAGGCCAAGAGCCGCTCTTCCAGGGCCGGGCTGCAGTTCCCCGTGGGCCGTGTTCACAGGCTGCTTAGGAAGGGTAACTACGCCCAGCGCGTCGGAGCCGGAGCACCCGTGTATTTGGCCGCGGTACTCGAGTATCTGACCGCTGAGATCCTGGAGTTGGCCGGTAAAGGGCTAGACACACGGGAGGCGACAAATGAGAGCGATCAGCGAAACTCTACGCTGTCGCTCAGATAACATGACAGACGGGGCGCGATGCGGCTTGACGACAGCGACGAAAAGTTGAGCCGATTTCAACTTTCTGGGATCGCGTCGCTGACCTGCGCGTGCACGATACATGCACGAGCGGGAGGATTTCACACGCACGTTTTTCGCCCGTCGCTGAGCAGGAGGCTCGCTAGCGATTGACGCTATGTCGCGCACGTCCCATTGAAATGAATGGAGGCGATGCGATGTCGCCTCCCGTGTGTCTAGCCCATAACGCCGCCAGAGACAACAAGAAGACTCGTATCATCCCCCGCCACCTGCAGCTGGCCGTCCGCAACGACGAGGAGCTCAACAAGCTGCTGGGAGGAGTGACCATCGCCCAGGGAGGTGTGCTGCCCAACATCCAGGCCGTTCTGCTGCCCAAGAAGACTGAGAAGGCCAAGTAAAGACTGAATAACAACCACCACACAACGGCTCTTTTAAGAGCCACCCACTCCCTCAAAGAGATGTATCTTCTGTTGTGAATACGAGTGCTATACCATTGGTTATCATGTTTTGTATACACACATGATCCATATATATATATATATATGAATTTGTAGCGAGACAATTTATCTAACGTAAGAACGAGATGCCTATAAATTCCGAATGAAGTGCTTTTAATGAATCACGAATTTCCTTCCTTCACATGTGGCTCAGAACAGTTCCGTTTGTCAGTTCATATGGCACTAACATGGAGAGAGTGAGGAGCACAGGGACTTTTGCCTGTGCGTATAACAGACTGCCAGATTCACCTTTATGCAGATGAGACAATTCTTCACTGTTCCAAACCTAACATTGCAGACATTTAACAACTCACTTCAACATGACTTCAATAATGTTCAGGGTTCGAGACTGGAACAGCCTTCCTGCTTCTATTCGTTTTATAACTTCATTTCTTACTTTCAGAACAGCCAAACAAACACAACACTTGTTTGTGTTTATAACGCAAAGTCTTTGTGGTACTTTTTTCGTTGGAGAGTTTGCAACGTATGGAATTCTTCTCCATATTTGCCTGTCTTCAAATGGTTTAATCAATGGTTTGTGTGCATGAGAAATGTATATCTTTCACTCACGTGTGACACAATTCTATGTTTGTATATGTACTTAAACATGCTTTCACAAGAATGCAATATCATCTGTAATGTATTGGTAGTGGGGGGAGGGTAAATGAGAGTTGGTGTGATGTGTGTATGTTTTTTTGTTTTGTTTTTTTTTTTTTTTTTGTGTTTGTAATCTGTTCCAATTTATATTCATTTTGTGATAATTTTTCATTATCATTTTGTTTCCTTTGCTGTTGTTGTACATCAAATGACTATGCTGTAACCTGTCTATAGAGGACCCCCACGAAAACGAGATGATGCATCTCATGGGGTTTTTGTGTTTTGTAATCTGTTCCAATTTATATTCATTTTGTGATAATTTTTCATTATCATTTTGTTTCCTTTGCTGTTGTTGTACATCAAATGACTATGCTGTAACCTGTCTATAGAGGACCCCCACGAAAACGAGATGATGCATCTCATGGGGTTATTCCTCTTTAAATAAATGTCTAAATAAATAAATAAATGAAGGATTTTATCTCTGCTTTTGCACTGTGGTTATTTATTATCTTAATCCCTTGGACTTGGTTGATAATAGTGGAACCGATGCATTAAGGCACACAGTTAAAAGTACAGAATGGAATATGTAAAAACAAAAAAGAAGCCAGTACGGTAGGTTTTGTGATTTGAAAAAGTGAGGATGTCGCAGGTCCAGGTTTCCAGAGTTTGGGAGCAGAGGCTGGATGCTCTGGCCCCATCGTGGCCACTTAATGGTTTGAATTGTTGTAATGTCGTGTGATTTTAATGTTTATGAGTTACGCCTTCATAGTGATAAAGCTGTAAAGCACTTCGTGTTCTTCTGTGCAGGAAAAGCGCTCTACAAATACATGTGAATTAAAAGATGAATAGAACACATGCAAATGTTCCTGAACTATTGAAGAAACCATAAAGGTGTTAATAACGCCTAAGACCTTTAAAGTTTGACCACAAATTACACTTATCCTGTCCTGTAAAGAGCGGAGCTGAGCCAAAATCTTTTTTTTCCCCCTCATGATTATTGTTCCTCACGTGAACGTTTGTGTAAAAACATGGTGACTGTGAAACCCCACGCCGCGCCTCTCCGAAATAACAGCCTTCTGCAGTCTTCAGTCACGTTCGCAAAGGCCTTACAAAGTCAGCAGCGCAGCTGTCTAACCTCATCAGAGTGTCTTACTATAGAACAGTCAAAATGAGTGGAAGAGGAAAAGGAGGAAAAGGACTCGGGAAAGGAGGTGCCAAGCGTCACCGCAAAGTCCTCCGTGATAACATCCAGGGCATCACTAAGCCCGCTATCCGCCGTCTGGCTCGACGCGGCGGTGTGAAGCGTATCTCCGGTCTGATCTACGAGGAGACCCGCGGAGTACTCAAGGTTTTCCTGGAGAACGTGATCCGTGACGCTGTCACTTACACCGAGCACGCCAAGAGGAAGACCGTGACCGCCATGGACGTGGTGTACGCGCTGAAGAGACAAGGCCGCACTCTGTACGGCTTCGGAGGTTAAAGATGGGACTGTAACAAACTCAAACGGCTCTTTTAAGAGCCACCCACTCTAAAAAAAGAAGAAACTTCTCATGTGATGAATATCATTATGTCCCTTCATTTTGTAGAAAATGTGATTAAAAAATAAACAATCTCTGTGGGTCACAACTTCAGCCAGAGGATGGGGAAACTACTCTTCACCAAACACAACGGCTCTTAAGAGACTCACCTTCTGTCGTGACTACTAGAGCAAACTTATTTAATGGATTTGTGAGATTTCATAACACTTTGAAGCAACTTTTGTTAAAGTTAAACTCTTCATTCTATCAATGTGCAGAAGCCAGTACTTTTCCCTTGTTTTGTCTATCTGAAGGCCAAGCTACAAGCACACCGTGGAAGCTGCTGATTGGAGGTCTCCATGCCTCCGCTCTGAATAATACACTTGCATTCTATTGTATCTGTGATCGTGTGCTTTGATCGTGCTGTCTCTACCATTGACAATAAAACATGTCTTCTGTCTGAATTTAAGACGCGATCCCAGACTTGGCTCATCTTCTTCAGCTTGACCAGTGGTTTTTCTATTTTTTTGTTCGGTAAGTTTGTGTCCATTTAATTCTGTACGAGTGAGTTGAGCACGAGGTCATTTTAGTTGTTTAAATACAAGTTTTTACTTCTTTCTGTTCCTTTTCATTCATAGTAAATGCTGTTGCATTTGTTCTTAAATGAATGAAATAGATAAATAAAAATAAAAAAAATCAGTGTTTTAAACTTCACTTTATATATTCCATGTCTCTAAATATTCCCATAAACCTAGATGAGCTCTTTGTTTTCTTTTTCTAACGCTCTCCACAGTTTCTTTGTCCTGTATCCGTGTCCTCCTCCAGAAAGAGAGAGAGGGAGAGAAACTCCAGCGGGGGAGGTCTGACCAATCAAGTGAGAGGAACAGCGCAGCTGCTCTGCATGATGCGAGTATAAAGAAAGCGCACGGACCAGACTGTACTCATTGAAGAAATGCCTGATCCAGCGAAGTCCGCGCCCAAGAAGGGCTCCAAGAAAGCCGTCACCAAGACCGCCGGCAAAGGCGGCAAGAAGAGGAGAAAGAGCAGGAAGGAGAGCTACGCCATCTACGTCTACAAGGTACTGAAGCAGGTTCACCCCGACACAGGCATTTCCTCCAAGGCCATGAGCATCATGAACTCCTTCGTCAACGACATCTTCGAGCGCATCGGAGGAGAGGCTTCCCGCCTGGCGCACTACAACAAGCGCTCCACCATCACCTCCAGGGAGATCCAGACTGCAGTGCGTCTGTTGCTGCCCGGAGAGCTGGCCAAGCACGCCGTGTCTGAGGGCACCAAGGCCGTGACCAAGT